GCGTGTGCTTGTGCGTGTGCGTGTGCGCGTGCGGGTGCGGGTGCGTGTGCGTGTGCGGGTGTACATGTGCGGGCTGTTGTCTGTGCGTATGTGTGTGTACAGGTATGAATGTATGTATGTGCACAGAAACACTGGCATTTGATACACACAGACACAGACATACAAACAAACAGTAGCCAGATGGAAAGACAGGTAGATCGATCGATAGAAACTGTTAGGCATGTGTGGACAAAGACAAACCCGATACACGCAGAACGCAAAACAAAACGACCAACCCTAAACTACGGAATAAACCCTAAAACCGAAACCAATCTCGAATGTGAGTCTGGAGTCCAAGAGCGGAGTGCGCTGAGCGAAGAGTGTCGCAGGGGGCCCCGACAAAGCTGCCATTCGAAGCCGAAAAGCTTTGTGCAGACGGGGTTAAGGGTTTAGGGTTGTTGCGCCACGCTTTGCTTACTGAGAAGGGAAAAGCTCCAAAAGCTCGATTTCATGTGTCGCAAAAGGTGCGAAAGAATGGAAACATAGTATGCTCTTGGACCTCTTGTGACTTGAGGAGCACACTGTGCCTCCATTTGAGGGTGACAGGGGCTCTCTGGGTGCACTGAAGCCGACCCATAAGCCATCCAATTAACGGCAGTGAACCATGAACCATACCCTAAACCCTAAACCCTAAACCCTAAACCCTAAATCCTAAACCCTCAATGAAGACTCCAGCTCTTCCTCGATCGGAAGCCTCAAAACGTGGGATGAAGGACTCTTGCGTGGGATCACACTACCTAGCTTCGTCCCACCCTTCGAACCGATTGAATCAAACCTCCATAACCAAACGTCCTCTAAGCGCTTGAAGGCCGCAGAAGCTTTAAGAGAACCCTGCAAGCTCTGAATCGCCGGTTCCGGAAGCCTTGAAGTGGGTTTGGGGGTTGGGGGTTTGGGCCTCTGCACGACCGCCAATGCATTCACAGAGAGCCCGATACTGCCAACTTCTGGAAGGACATACCTTAAGATAAATGGGGCTTCTTCTTATGATTTAAGAGTGTGATTGGGCTTCTAACTGAGGTGTACGCAAGGGCTCCTATTTAGTTCCTTTTTGGATAGTATACTATAATAACTCCTGACCAAAAAACCATAACAGACCCAAAAAGAAACTACCTTGGAGCCTAAACCCTAAACCCTAAATCCCTAAACCTAAACCCTAAATCCCTAAACCATAACAGACCCCAAAAGGAACTACCTTGGAGGCCCTTAACAGTTTAAACCTTGCCTGAGGGCTCGTTGGCTCTGCGCCTCGCTTCTTTTGTTTTTCTCGTTTCTGCCACTTGGGGTTTAGGGTTTAGGGT